CGAAAACAATCGCTAGTAGCTCCTTATCTATATGATTATATCTTTGCTGAGTTGTAGTGAGAGAAACAGAAGCGAACTCAATGGGGCGATTTTCTTGATAAATTACAGCGCCCAGTCCGAAAGGACTTGCATCCACAGAGAGGACAATTTCTTTTTTAGGATCATAAAACGATAAAATAGTATGTCTGGAAACCAGATTTTTTATATGATTGAAATTATTATTTTCAATTTCAGTCCACTGCCACTCATTTTTCGAACTCAATAGTGCTCTGAGAACATTTGTTTCTTGTGACAAATTCGGAATGAATTTTGATAGATAAACAATCATTCCAAGAAAACGCTGTAAATCTCTCTTATTCTTTGGTGGTTGCGTGTCTCTGAAAGATTCTCAACACCAATATTCAACTCATGGAAGTCTTTGGAGTTTAAAATATTGACTTGACTGCCAGAATCTATTTTTACATTTATTTCTTTTCCAGAAATATTCAATTTTTCATACCATTCTATGGCATTAACATCTGAGCTTGAAACAGTCCATACAATTTGATTCGGATCATCAGAATGAGGAAAATTATCTACATCAGAATAATATTCATCTTCAGAATAATATTCAGGTTCCTCAAAAATTTCATGAACCGTGTTATTTCTGCAAAATCTACGATAGTGCCCCTTCCGCTTACATAAACTACAAAAGCGATTTGATGCAGGACATTTGTCTTTTTCGTGTGATTGTTCACACCGAGAACATTTCGCATTTTGATATTCTGATGTATTCCCGCCGTGATAATCATGTTGATATTTTCTCATATGCTGTCCTATTGGATTTTCTGAAAAATGGCCAGATTTTCCCCGATTTTCATAAGACGCATATCTTTGATTCGAAATATTCTTCATGAAACGCTTATTAATAACATCGACCGAAGTATCTTTAGTGATTTGCTTTTGAGTAGCAACACTGGATTCCATTGCTCTACTAACCTGAATTGCATCATTCATACACAAATTGGGAGTTTGGAGAAGTTTTTCTTGTATTCTAAGGTCTCTGATGCCTAAAACTATCCTGTCACGAATTAGTATATCCTTTTCTTTGAATTCACATGATGATGCAAGATATTTCTATGCCGTAACAAACTGATCAACTGTTTCATCCAGCATTTGATCCCGTCTAAAAAACTTGTAATGCTCATATACCAAATTTTTGATTGGATTACAGTATTGATCAAACTTGGTCATTACAATTTCTAATTTCTTCGAATCCTCATCACTTGTATATTCGAAAGCATTATAGATATGAATACCTTCATCTCCCAATAAATGTAAGAGCAGGGCAATTTTAACTTCATCCGTTTCCTTACTCTTTCCTGTAGCTAATATGTATAGTTCATACTTCTGCTTCCACAGCTTCCAGTTATTGGAAACGTTATCCTTGAAATTCATACAATCTGGCGTCCGATGATCCCCCATCTTTTACCACGTCTCAATCAGTCTTCTGCAGTACCTAGTCCCCGCTTCAAAAGCGCTGTGTCCGCAATCTGAGAGCTGCCTAGTTAGCAAAGTCTTGTCCTGATTTTTGCCTTTTCCGATGCCACCAAGTAATATTTGTGATCAATAATATGGAGCCTTGGGAATATATTTATTATTTAACATTCAGCATAACTTATGACAAGTTCCTAATCATGTCACTGACTGATGTCATCCAACCTCGCCGCCTATATCGCTGTATACATACAGGGCATATACTGCTTATGAATACATTACAACAGGATGGTGACTTTTCATTTGGGCATGAAATGCATTAAGAGTACAAATATTATTAGAAATGCACACGGAGGAAATAATTGAACATAATATAACATAACTGAATCTCTAATACAAAAATTAACACACAGAAATAAAAAATAAAAAGAGAATGACATTACAAGATGAATGACAACAAAATAACTTGAGTAAATTGTCAGTTTTGAGTCAGCTATGTAGTTTTCATAGTGCAACGGTCAACAGGAAATATATCTTATGCACTTCAGGGATTTGAAGGGTAAGTTAATTCCCTATTTTCGGGGAAAAAGTGGTACTTCAAATCCCTAGGGATTCAAAATTAATTTCTTCGCAATAAACGCTAAATTTAGAAATGCATTTTCAAAATGTCTGTTGCAATTGTCCCTTTCATCTTCGAATATACTCTCCACAATGACGATGCTTTGAGCTGTTATATATGCTAGCAGTACCTTTCCTTCTGTACATTTTTCTACGTTCCGTTCTTTACACCATTTGATGAACTCAGATAACTGTTTTTTATATTGTTCTCCAGATTTTTTGGGTAATAATTGGCCTTGTGTTGTGGCTTATTGCTTATAATAAATTTGTGTAATTAATAATTATATTAATTCACACTGGAGGACATTTGAACCGGTAAACGTGACAACACGGCGCACGAATTGTGGACGTTGTCTTCCCAGTTCTCAGCATTCAGCACATATTGTCAAGTCTCCAACATTTACACGATATATTGTGATAGAGTATATGAAATATTTTGACATGCTGGTTGCTCGAAGAGTCAAAAATTAACGAACTATGATATCATGGCTCTCTCCTAGTTTCATTCGACGACCGAACACTTAACTTCTTTTTGATAACTTGATTATAATTGGTGACTTGACAACCTTGCTTCATGACTGGGAATGGAGGATTTTATGACCGATAACGATACAGCATAAAAACTGAGTCACCATTTACATATCGCAGAACATGGTCAAATGGCGGCCATAACGGTACGTCTGAAATTCAACAATTTCAAACAACGCTTGAAAAAGCGTAAGAAGTGTCGCATAAATTAAAGTAGGTCCCTAACGGCACAGTGGAGTAATTGAATGCCAATAACTCATCATCAGTTACTTGCCAATTATTACCTGAAGAAGCTTGGATTTGAATTGAAAAACATATCTTACCATATGTTATCTTGAAACACTTCCACTCACCACCTCCCTTGCGCCCTGAAAATCGTATCAAACGCCGTGAAATTCAACCTTCAAATCGTACATAATGATGTGGCACAAAAAATTCCTGATAAACTGCACGGTCGAAGGCAGCCATGGCTAATGGTCAATCCGTAAGGTGGCGCCGTGCGGGATTTTTTCGTACTCCATCGATGGTACAAAAACTTGCAGATAAGATACAAAGAAACTCCTCAAGATCGATGATGAAACAGCAACACATTCGCGAAAACACATTCTACACAGTACACCAAGCACAAACGCCGTAAAAATAGTTGACGGACGATCGGTAATGAGATTACAGAGAAGCCAACTCTGAAAAAATTTACGAGTATTGTCAAACGTTTCAACAAGACTCAAAAATATACTGCGCAGGTGCCTCAATCAATTTTAATGCTTGCTTGTTGACCGTCAAAGTTCTTCGCGAATCCTGACGTGTTGTTCTATTTGCTATTTATAGGTTAGACCTCGTCCTGGAATCTTGTCTAGTTTGTAAAAGCCATATGCTGGTAATTCCATTCCCAATCTGTATATACTGTTATGATTTGTATTCTTTTTTATTATTGCTTGCCCAGATAAATACTTACACTCTTCTCATTGTTGTCTCTCACCTTTTATTTCTTCTACTCTAGCTCAGCTCAGTCGATAATCCCTTGCCAATAGAAAACAAAAAAAAAACAAAAGAAAGTGAAAAAACACACTCGACTGTCTTGATTTTTTTCCCATAAACTACGAACCTAGCTCACTCGACTGTCTTTATTTTTCGCCAATAAACTAGGTACCTAGCTCACTCGACTGTCTTAATTTTTTGCCCATGAACTACATACGTAGCTCACTCGACTGTCTTGATTTTTCGCCAATAAACTACGTACATAGCTCACTCGACTGTCTTGATTTCCCACAAAGAATAAATATGTTATCATTGTTTTAACTTTCTTTTGTTTTTGTTTTTTTAGTCCCTATTGGCAGGCGAGTGGGCTAGGTACGTAGTTTGTGTGGAAAAACCAAGACAGTCAAGTGGGCTAAGTACGTAGTTTGTGGGAAAAATCTCCAGTTCTCTGAACTTTCATAGCGTCGTATACACATCTTTGGTGCCCAATGATAGTGTCAATATAAAAATATGCTCATGATATGGTGCCATGGCCTCTACTTCCATCTTACATGAGCAATGATAAAATATCATCTGCTTTTATAGCTTCGTATAAATTATCTGACCTCTATACTAATCTAATACCTAATGGAAACTACATCTATACTAATCTGATACCTTTCAAAAACTACGTACCTCACTTGTTATTACTGCGTATCGCATTCACATTAACCTTCAAATCGTACATAACGATATGATACAAAAACTTCCCGACGAACTGCAAGGTCGTAGGCAGCCACGGCAACCCGTAAGGTTGCGCCGTGCGGGATTTTTTCGTACTCCATCGATGGTAGAAAAACTTTCAGACGAGATACAAAGAAACTCCTCAAGATCGATGATGAAACAGCAAAACATTCGCAAAAATACACATTCTGCACAATACACACCAAGCACAAACGCCGAAAAAATAGTTGACGGACGATCGGTAATGAGATTAAAGAGAAGCCAACTCTGAAAAAATCTACAACGAGTATTTTCAAACGTTTCAACAAGACCCAAAATACTGTGCAGGTTCCTCAATCAATTTTAATGCTTGCTTTGTGACCATCAAAGTTCTTCGCGAATCCTGATGTGTTGTTCTTTCATTTGCTATTTATAGGTTAGACCTTGTCCTGGAATCTTGTCTGGTTTGTAAAACTGGTATGCTGGTAATTCCATTTTCAATCATATGTACTGTAACCTTTCATCACATTGACCAGCATGATCATTTGTGAATAATGGAATTACCCTACTCTAAATAATCCATTTTCTTTGGAAATTCAATTTGGATAAGAATCTTGGAGAAGAAACGAACAAAAATAAACATGATGAAAAAAAACAAATCACTGGAAAATAAAATAAACTAATCAACTTCCACTCACCTCCTCCTTGACAAGTCTTCCCTGCGTCCTGAAAATCGTATAGAACGCCGGCAGATGATTGACGTGCTTGTTATTACTGCGCATCGCATTCACATTAACCTTCAAATCGTACATAACGATATGATACAAAAACTTCCCGACGAACTGCAAGGTCGTAGGCAGCCACGGCTGGTGGTCCATCTGTAAGGTGGCGCCGTGCGGGAGTTTTTCGTACTCGAGCCACTGCCAGGCTTGCCGGGGGTTCACCGGGACTTGCTCGGTGGGGAGCGCGTCGTGGGTTTTTCGGTTGGCGACATAGGCGGCGCAGTAGGCGGTGTGGATGTCGGAGATTTTGTCCAGGACGCCGGTTTTTTGTTTGCAGAGGATCCTGTACCTGGAAGCAGAGTTGCAAAAATCACGATGAAAAACTGTTTTTTTTTTTCAACTGAATCGTGATTTTTTTTATTTATACGGTTTTTTCCTTGCCCAATAGTTATAATAATAATAATAATAATATAATGATAATATAATGATAAATCGTCTTCTTTCATTATTTGCAGAAGAACATTGCACAAATAAAAATCAAACAAAGATAGTTTGCCAAACCTTATATACCTATCTGCAATGGTGAATAGGCGGAGTATCAGCAAAAAGCTGTTTTTTAACTCAACCCCAAAAATAAAATGAGAAGAACAAGTTAATTTACAAAAATATAAATCATAAAAAGTGTAGAAACAATGTAGATGCGTTATATCTTGAAGAACACCTATATATTATAAGTGTACAATAGAAAGAAATAATTTAAAAATTCAAATAAAAAATTGCATAATTTTGAGAATTGAATAAACAAAGGATTGTCAGAAAAGCATTGCTAGATTTTTGATTATAATAAAATCTACCTGGCTGAAAGATCAAGATTCAATCTCGTCTCAAAGTTACTGAGAGTGAAAGATCTATATTCCATGGGAAGTGAATTATAATATTTGTTACCTGTATAAGAGAAACTACGTTTGAAGAAAGATGAATCATGTTATGGGATAAGTGGTTTTATTGTTATCTATACTTATATTATAAAGAGGAATCATTTGTTAAATACTGTCTGTAGGTTAATAGGGGAGGTGGTACATTCATTATTCCAGATTTTTTAGGATTTTCTCTCTTCGTTTCTATAAAAATATGAATATCATTTCAATATACGTATAGTAGGAAATAAATCAGGTGATTTGCCCCAAAATGTCACTGTATTCGAAGAATTTTCCTATCAGAGACCTTAAAAGAAAAATTCACATCCTATAACTTTTGATTGCCAACCTCACTAATGGGCGTATACACCTTAGTAGAACTTTTAACTCAAACCATGTTTATAATGATCCTTTTATACATAAATAATGATTGAAGACATAATTCGATCGAAAAATTTACTGGAATGTTTTATTTTTGGACAAATAATAGTACCTTCTGAAAACGGACCCTCTTATGACGTAGAAACCTCAACTCGCCATAGTTAGAACTGACACTTATCACTGTTGCCATATAATCCAAACAAAATATCCGAGAGATCGAAATCGATACTGGAATATCTTTTGATATCCACTAATCGATATTATCGATATTATCGATAATATCGATACTGCAGAAAAATATATTCAAATTGTCGATTGTAGGTTGAATCATTGGAATATAAACAATCTCTAGACATTACAATTTCAGAATAATCCGATATATTTCGCAGCAACATCGCTTTGTTGACCTGTTTTACATGGAGCTGCAAAAAGTTAATATAGGTTAGAACTGATCTTCTTCTTGTTCTCATTATCTTTGTCCCAAAAATCAACTTGCCGATTCACCAATCTTGGTGCTTTGTCAGAAATCATGTATCATTCATCTCTGTCTGGAATAGTCTTGTTTCAGTATTAGGGTTTTGACGTCACATCATCGCCTCGTTTTCAGAGGTCCGAAAAATCGGAGATTTCAAGAATTTTTTATAAACGTAGGGAGCTAGTTTGGATGAGTTCTATCGAATTATGAAATAATTTTTTTTGTGATATAAGCCCATTCCCTGACGAGTTATCAGCTTCGGCGACTTGTTTTAACAACGATTGATAATTTTATTCAAATCACAACAAAAATTTATTAGTAGATTCTAATTGTAACAACCCTGCCTGGAAAGCGATTGGAATGCTGTCATGATTTTGAGGTTAAGTTTATAAGCAGCTTTGACAGCTGAACCATTGTCATTCTGGCTATATTCCGACTTCAACTGGTTAGTACTGTCAGTATCTTCACTGACTCTGCTGAAAATCTGTGTTCCAGAAAATAAAATCAAAAAAATATAGTGCTATAATTCGGAACACGTTTGGTTTTCATTAGTAATCAGCAGCAGTTGATCAGCAGTTGATCAGCTGGTGGAATTTGAATATCATTCTCAGCGTCAATTATTTTATTAACAGGCATTTTCTGATATTAAATATGATATTATTGATTTATTATTGATAAGACAAGACTCAATGTTTGAAAAACAACGGAAATGAATGTGACATTCCCTCCTCCTCTGAGTGACAGTTCACTGAAGCCACACTACCTTTTGATAAAAAAAAGTCAGCAATTTCAGCAGAATGTTGAATCGAAATATTTGGAATGAATAGTATGTCTACTCACAAGTATCTGTCACTTTCCGTGTTTTTTTTATGTACAGTGAGGAAGTAAAAAGTCCTCTCGCCCCCCCCCCCCTTAACCTTCGAACGGAATAAGCTAGCGAAGTCGGGTGACAAATTTCAAACTCTTGTCATTTTGAAACGGCTTGGCTGATTTGTACAAGCGAAGCGGTGTTGGGTAGAGAATAGAAAGGCCTTCAAAACAAGGTACCACGTGACCCCTCTTTATATTTGAAAAAAAAAAGTTGATGATGCCCACTTGACACTAGGTCACGTGACCACAACCATTTTCATGCCAAATATTAGTGAAAGAGGTACCTTTTTGCCTGAATTTCACCCGACCTCGCTAGCTTGTTCCGTTCAAAGGTTAAAGAAAAGGGGGTACTTTTTAAGTCATCACTGTATATACCGGGTAACACAGGAGACATGTAACAACCTGTAGTTTTTTTTTATTTGAAGAGATAAAAATCTGAAATTCACAAGGGTTATATTATCGATGATGGCGCTTTCCTTGAACCCAATGATAATCTTCTTTAACCACCAGTATATTTCTGTAGCCTTTCTCATATGCCTTAAAATTCATCTATGTATCACAATTAGATATTCGTTCATTGACTGGCTGTTAAATTGCATTTTATTGAAATACATCAAGTTGGCTGTGGCCCAAATATAATGACATTTCGATGCTTGATAGGCTTAGAAATCCAAAGATCATTACTAAGATGATATTATCAGAATATTTTCCATATCCCAATCTGTCCCTGAAGATTGCCAATAATTTTATTGAGTTTAAAAAAATCATCCGAAAATAACTCACGATATTGATAAAACTAAGAAGGAAACTCAGTTTTTTTCATTTGGCTACTTGTGAAGAAACTATTCCTCTTTTATTTTTGCCATGTAGCCATAATGTAGCCATACATGAAATTGAAATTGTTGTGATAATTGATGTATCGTCCTAATACATCTGTTCATAAGTCTACATTAGTGTATTTTCAGTATCATTTCGCTTATCAAATCGCGATACATAGTTGAATAGAGAATTTTGAGGCGCATAAGGAAGACTACAGAAATATATCCTGTATATTTCTGTGCAATTTAACAGCCAGTTAATGAAAGAATATCAAATTGTGATACATGGTTGAATAGAGAATTTTAAGGCAACTAAGAAAGGCTACAGAAATATACAGGATGCCATTTGAAAAAGGCAAGCTCCATCATCGATAAAATAACCCTTGTGAATTTCAAATTTTTATCTCTTCAAATAAAATAACTACAGGCTGTTACATGTCTCCTGTGTCACCCGGTATATAGCCTCTAAGATCCACTTTACAGTTGACAATTTCTCTAAAATTTGCAGTCATTTTCGGACAGCTGACGCTGTTTCGTTGCCTACATTGCAAGAAATAGGTCACTTACTGACATGGAATCCATTAAAGAAAAATGACCTGTTTCTAGTTGCCATCTTTGATTTTTGTAAAGAATATTGTGCGAGAAAATGTATAGTGTTATACCGGCTCAATGAAGTAGGATGATGTGTAGTGAAGTGAGACAAAAGAGTATACTGAAATTACGTGAGATGGAGTGAAGTGAAGCAATCTGAAAGAAAGTGGCGTCGAAGAAAAATACCTTGGTGTGAAGTGAAATTAATGCCTATCTTCCATTCCACATACCTGGTGTAAACTTTGTTGCCCAACTCCCTGTACAGCATGTTCACCGTCGGACTATAAGTCTCCGAGCCTTGCGCGATCTTCTTCGCCTCATCAACCACAATCGCCACGAAATCCTTGGCGGGGATGCAGCGCATGTAGGGCTCCATATTCGTGGCGCTCCTTTGCGCCGACAGCGTTGCCAGATCGCGCTGGAACGCCTCCAGAGCCGCCTCCGCCCACATGGCGTAGTGCTCCTGCAGAGCCGTACGGTGTCGGGTCACCTCGTCGGTGATTGGACCTCTGTTATTGATGCTCTTTATCTGAGACAACAGATTAGATCATTGGAATCGGCATTGATAAAAAGTCGATAGCCCGTTTCACAGGTGGTTAGGTGTTAGGAGTTTCTTAATGTACTTGACACTGCTGATTTTGACGTTTTTTGTATATTAGTGTACGGACACTATGACAAGCATTGACTATCAGACATAACCACAAATAAATTGATGGAAAAAGTGGGAACTGACAGTACAGGGTGGGCAAAATTGGGCGTTTTCGCCGTCTATCTCAATAACTAGAGGAGTTATCGAAAAACCGATATACATGGTCCGGGTTCGATTTTGGAGAAACCTCGAATGGCACAATCAAAATTTCGATATCTTCATTCGTTTTAGAGATACAGGGAGAAATTGAAAATTTGCCGATTTCGATTTTATTTTCTGACTACTTCACGGTGAGAGGTATCAAAAAATTTCAAACGTATATTTATACAGTATGATGCGTGGAATCCATTGGCATCATCAGAAATTTTATACAGGGTGACGTTGAAAAGATACGGCAGCCAATTATGTTTTTTCTAATGGAACACCCCGTATATTATGGCACAGTTGAATAGTCCCAGGCGTTCTCATTACAAATATATATATAACCCTACCTTTTCCTTCCACAATTTTAGATATATTCGCAAAAATATATTCAGTGTGTCACAATTCTTATGGTTACACCCCCGTATCTTCTGTAAAAATAATTGAGGTAGGATTCAAAAATTCGCAACTGTCAGAAAGATACAAATGATACACTCATGGAGTCATGGACCAAGTGGGATCATCTCCAATGATAACACTGCTCGCCAGCAGCTATGGAATCATCGATATTTCTGGATAATGCTATCAACAGGCAGAATCGAGGTTGAAAATGACACTCTGTATATATTCACCAAAGGTGCAAAAAGGAATATCATAGGGAATGTTATTTCCAGACAAATGGCTATTTGGTGAGAAATAAAATGGGAAATTATTCGATTTGATATCATTGTTATCAAGACATTCGAGATACAGAAATAAGACCAATAATTTACTCAATTAGGAAATCAGTAAGTTGCGTTGAAAAATATAGCCTTATAGAAGATGTCCAAATTCCAGATACAGAAGATACGGGGGTGTAACCATAAGAAATGTGACACACTGAATATATTTTTGCGAATATATCTGAAATTGTGGAAGGAAAAGGTAGGGTTATATATATATATTTGTAATGAGAACGCCTGGGACTATTCAACTGTGCCAAAATATACGGGGTGTTCCATTAGAAAAAACATAATTGGCTGCCGTATCTTTTCAACGTCACCCTGTATAAAATTTCTGATGATGCCAATGGATTCCACGAATCATACTGTATAAATATACGTTTGAAATTTTATGATACCTCTCACCGTAAAGTAGTCAGAAAATAAAATCGAAATCGGCAAATTTTCAATTTCCCCCTGTATCTCTAAAACGAATGAAGATATCTAAATTTTGATTGTGCCATTCGAGGTTTCTCCAAAATCGAACCCGGAACATGTATATCGGTTTTTCGATAACTCCTCTAGTTATTGAGATAGACGGTGAAAACGCCCAATTTTGCCCACCCTGTACACGGACGTACATGACATAAATTTCAAAGGTTTGACCTCAGGTTTGACAAATTGAGAGGATTGGGAGAAAGATGCAAGTTTGTTCAGTTTCCAACTGTGAGAACACGGAAAATCAATTCACTTTATTCGAATTTCCATCGGATAAGGTAATTCTACAAAAATGGAAACAGAATATGATGCGGTCGGCATGGAATATAGGTTCAGGCCACGAAATTTGCGAGGTATTCAAATTTCTTGGCAGGATATAGAACATTTTTCAACGCATTTTCATCAGGTACACTTCAGAACGGAAGATTTGATGTTGAAGAATAGTATTGAGAGAAAGAGCCGAACCCACAATTTATAAACTGAGCGAGTATCGAAAAGAACCTTATTCCAATTTAGACTCTGGTTATTGCTTGTGATGGAATGATGGAGCAGAGATCACAATAGCCACCATGGAGATCATGGTCGATAATCTGATGATAAAATAGCAGCAACTTCCTGAATTGGCTGACTCAAACAGATTTCACATCCCTGTTCAACCAAGAATTCTTTAGATCATCTTCGTATACGAACTCTTATAATAATTTTGTGAAAACATATAGTCAAGGAACTCTGATGTACCAGATATTGATGTTTCTATATCAAAGAGTTGAATATATTGTTCGTGTATCGCTTCTTCAAAGTTGAAATCCCAAGTCTGAATGTGCATGTTCATGCGTAGTTGAGAAGTGCTAGACGACTACATAGCTCCTAGTGGATTTTGAACCACTTCTTGGGTACCAAGATACGAGCAAGATATTATCAAAGCACAGAACAAGAACGCTTAACAAGTGCACCATTTATGTTAGGTATTGAGAATGATCTTCCGATGGCCGGGTTCAAACCAACAATCCCATTTAGCAATGTGAACGGCGATCTATAGTGAGTCGAGCGCTGAAGGTCATTTATACCTACTTCCATATGTCTTGGAGAACCTTCATTATTAATCCTAACTGAAATCAGCTGTTATCGTTGCCATATCATTTGTTTATTTATTAATTACTTATTACCTACCACTCTTGTACGAGTGAAATTGTTCCACACGAAATAAAAGTATGTTTCTTGAAATTTATCAGTTTTTACCCCATTCTGAACTTTTGTGATAAGCAAATATTCCACTGAATATATATACCTACATATAAGAGACTCATTTCATAGGAATACTATATGTATTTCGTTGATATATATGTACCTACTAACTTGATATTGACCTCCATTGAGGTCCTTCAGCCTTATCATTCAATATTTCCAGAAGAAATAATTTTCTAATCAATTTATCGTACCCTTTTACCCACTCGAGGAGACGGTATGCACTCTCAAACAAAAACCAAAGACAGAGAAAGATATATGGATGTACTCTTCCCAAGACTTGTGGAGGAAGGAAGATGCGAGGATCCTTTATCTGAGCGAAAAACATATTCTTGTCCTTGTCTGGCAAAACGTATTATTTGTTTCAAAATCGTTTGTGGTTATGGTTGAGTGTCACTGCTTGTCTAGTGTCCGTACTCTGATATACAAAAAACGTTAAAACAGCAGTGTCAAGTACATTTAGGAACTCTAGTTAGGTATTAACCTCAATTCGTGCAAAATTCGGAATTTAGGATAGAAACACCCGAAATCGGAATTCGTTTAAACGATTCGTTTCATAGACTTCGTGAGGAAGTAATTCAATAGGTGCGATGTCGGGTCGCCTCGTCGGTGATTGGACCTCTGTTATTGATCTAAGACACCAGATTAGATCATTGGAATCGGCATTAAGAGAAGACCGATAGCCTGTTTTACAGGTGGTTAGCTGTTGACCTCAATTCGAGCATTCATTTGCAATCCAAATCTTGAAATTTTGTCGTGTTCCTGTCAAGATTTACGTTTCGTCGAGTTTGTAAACAATAATTGCTGAAACTTTTCTGGTATGAATATGTTTCTGCCTCAAACACCGAATTGTGCTTGAAGTTAACACCTAACCACCTTGAAAACGGTTTCGGGCTATCGGCCTTTTATTAATGATAATTAATTATTTTTTTTTATCGCTTGGAGCGCACGAAAGGGAATCCCTATAATGTTCAAAGAACATCGTGCGTTCCTAGGGAGGATAGGGACAGGAGGTAGGTATTGGAATTTTTTTTGAACTTTTGGAGATTATATGTTGTTGGGAATACTTCCACAGGCAATGAATTCCAGAGCCTAGCCGTTCTAATGATAAGCAAGAATACTTATTTCTAGAAAAAATAGTATAAAGTTCATCACGATGAGAATATACACAAAATTCTTTTGAAACTTGTAGAATTTTTTCTAGATAAATTTCCAAAGAAATGCTCCCTTCACAACACGACGAAAACTCGTCAGCGGTACTGACGTCACAAGTACTATAACGCGCCCACCGTCTATAAACAGCTTGTTTGGATATGTTTTACTTATTCACACATCCGTTGATCACACATTTGTATCCGGGCTTTTCTGCTTCCCTTTTTTCTCACAGAAATTCTAAACGGATATCATTGGAGGTTCGTCATTCGTACTTAATTTAATTTTTTTATTTATATTTCTGTTATTGCATTACATTCTCTTCTTCATTGATACATTTCATACAAATAATATGTAAAGTATAATTAATTTTCTAGTAGGAATGACATGAATGATCAAACAGTAATTCCTGGTATAAGTAGTAAGTATTATTAAGTATATTATTAAGTATTATCGACTGTTGTATAATTGAAATTACAAATAGTGAACAAAACTGACATATCATTAAGATATCTCGAAATAACAGTCATATTATAGTGAACAAGACGGGGAAAAATAAAAACAGTGAAAAAAAAAGGAAATTCATAGTCTTTCAGCTTCATCATTCCTTTGCAAAAAAATATATTTTTTCACTTTATTTCTGAATTGCATAATATTTGGGCTGTTTTTGATATCATCTGGTAATTTATTGAATTTTGAAATCGCCTTATGAGTAAACTTTTTTGTCCAAGTTTAGAATTTGCAGCTTCAAGATGAAACAAGTTTTATTGTCTAGTGTGATGATCATGAATTTCGGAATTCCTAATTAATATAAAATTTGATTTAAACTTTTTGATGATGATATAATAGTACATTTTGAGAGTATTGATTAAAAAGTGCTCTTCCAAAGAAAATGTGTTTGTTTCCTTATACAGTTGATTCGTTGGAGTATCATATGGAACTGGCATTTTCCTGACATGACAACACTGAACGTGACAGAACTTTGGCATTTTGCGGAATGACAGAGTCGTAAATGCTGCCAATACAGAAGAACCAAATTATATTATATTCAGTATTCAATATTCAATATGCTTGCCCGAACTCCGCTTCGCGTCGCTCTGTTATTTCATTATCAAATGACGGTCGAAATCTGCAGCTAGCTTTTAGACAAAAGGGAAAAAAGACAGACTAGACAAAACTCACCGTCACATAACCTTCTTGTTCCATATCAAGTTGCTTTTTAATGCCCTTCTTCAGCTCGTCAACTGCACCCTCATTATCTCCTGTAGACCGAAGCGGCTCGAGTTGTTTCTTGTTGTTCAAGTGATCCACCATGTGATTATTATACCAAACATCGGGCTTATCGTACTCCGGAACATAACCCGGATCATAAACCCGCATCGCTTGCAAGACAAACTCCCTTTCCTGATTCAAAAAACTACCTTCGTTCATGATCTTATCGTAGGTTATGTTGTTCGAAAGGGCCTCTTTGGTGTAAAATTCGACATCTTTGGAGTGGTTTTGTTTGGCGGTCAACTTGCCTAGACATTCAAAAATGGCAATGTAGCTTTGCACGTTGCATTTCACTTGCTCTTCTTGCATTATCTTCACTATTTCCTGTAGTTTGGGGAAATCGCCCTTATGAGCGAAACCTTTCAGCAGAGCATTGTAAACGTTGGTGCTTTTTATCGCGACGTAGGATTTGTTTTCGATTTTTTTCGTTTTGAATCTGTGGAAATTCAGTGCTCCCAAGCCTCGCATGGGGTTTTTCATGTGGGCGCATACTTCAATGTAGGCGGCTAGGGTTTTGCTCATTATTTCTTCCCTGCGGTGGTAGTCCAAGGTCGTTTTGGTCGTTTTGTCGGGCAGTTCTTTGTGCTCTTCCGGTTCAGGAATGTGCTCCTCGATCACTTCCGGTTGGAAAGTGTTCACTCGTCTCAAGCTGTAAACGTGTGCAGCATTAAACTGAATTATTCTATCGAAAAGGGATATACAGGGTACTGTCCCAAAATTGCTGGGACACAGAGCTACCACTTGTAAAACGATTCAAAATAAGTTGATTGGACCCAACTAATTTATACAGGGTGTTCCTTAATGATATGTTAATAATCAATGGGCCGATTATTCAACCCATTTCAAGAATTAAACTTGATATGAACGTAGTAAGTAAACGTCCTAACTTTCGAGATACACGGTGTCAATGTTGAAAATATGCATACAGAAAAGTGCACAAAAAACGGCCAGTGCTGTATCTTCTGAATCATTCTAAACTGCTCAACACATGAAACGTAAAAACGCCTTTTTCGATCAAATTTGAATCATCATAATTTTCGATTTCCTCAACCGACTTTCAATTTTTTTTCAGTTTCAGAAAGCTCGTTTCATTGACTATCAAACCTATGGATATAACTATTTAATCTTTTCCGGTTGAGATTCTACAGGATGATAATCAAAGCTGAGCATTTTTTCAATAATCTCAAACGCTTTCCGTTTGAAAAAAAAATGTTTTGGGGTCAAAAACATTTTGCTGCATATGTTTTCTCGATATTTTGAAAAAAATTTTGGAATTGTCACATGCGTTACTGAAATATGAATGTTTTATTGAGATAATGCATAATTTGATGCTCTAATTTCTATTGGCACGGTGGCAAAATGAGTTGATTGGACCCAACTAATTGATACAGGGTGTTCCTTAATGATATGTTAATAAACAATGGGCCGATTATTCAACCCATTTCAAGAATTAAACTTGATATGAACGTATCAAGTAAACGTCCTAACTTTCGAGATACACGGTGTCAATGTTGAAAATATGCATACAGAAAAGTGCACAAAAAACGGCCAGTGCTGTATCTTCTGATTCATTCTAAACGGCTCAATACATGAAACGTAAAAACGCCTTTTTCGATCAAATTTGAATCATCATAATTTTCGATTTCCTCAACCGACTGTCAATTCTTTATCAATTTCAGAAAGCTCGTTTCATTGACAATCGAACCAATGGATATGACTATTTCATCTTTTCCGGATGAGATTCTACAGGATGATAATCAAAGCTGTGCATTTTTCCAATAATAAAATTTTTCTATTTTTGTTTGGGTCAAAAACATTTTGCTGCATATGTTTTCATGTTTTCTCGATATTGTGAAAAAAGGTTTGGAATTGTCACACTCGTTAATGAAATATGAATGTTTCATTAAGATAATGCATAATTTGATGCTCTAATTTCTATTGGCGTTGTGTTCCTGTCAATCTGGTTCGAACGGTGGTCAAAAATCTTGAAATGATGCATGATCAACCTATTCTTATATACAGAGTGTAATCTTGTTTTGACGAGCAAAAGAATTTCGAAGGAGGAAACCGATTCAATGTTGAATTCAATTTTTTTTATCGCTTGGAGCGCACGCAAGGGAATCCCTATAATGTTCAAAGAACATCGTGCGTTCCTAGGGAGGATAGGGACAGGAGGTAGGTATTGGATTTTTTTTTGAACTTTTGGAGATTATATGTTGTTGGAAATACTTCCACAGGCAATGAATTCCAGAGCCTAGCCGTTCTATGGATGAAGGAGTCTTGTTAAAGTGCTGTTCGACATATTTCGAGGTTGACAACGAAAGGATGAGGTGACTGGGCTTGTCTAGTTCGTCTGATTGGTATTGCTAGTGAAGGGATGATAGCAGAGATTTCCGAAGAAAATTTCCCGAGGAAGTATCGATAGAAAAGTGAAAGGTCGCCGACCTTTCTACGGTTTTCCAATGATGTCAAAGAGTGGTGAGTGTGGCGTCACCCACCAGGCGAATGGCTCTTCTCTGAATGGAATCTAAGAGCGGCAGCGTATGTTTTGGTGATGAACCCCATATGTGGGAACAGTATTCTAGAACAGGCCGTATCTGCGCTTTGTAGATCATGAGAAGCTGTTGTGGTGTGAAGTAGCTTTTCACACGGAACAAGAATCCGAGTTTTTGTGAAGCAGCTTTTGTGATGGATCTGACATGATTATACCATGAAAGAGTGTTGCAGATGGAAATACCGAGCATAGATATGGTGAGCTTGGTGGGGATGATAGAGCCAGACATTACAATATCAGGCATATTGAGTTCCGCCTTTCTAGAGAAAATGCAGGCTTGAGTTTTGGTGGCGTTGAATTCAACTAGGTTGTTTGTTCCCCAGGCTGTGATTCCAGCAAGATCTTCATTGACAGCATTGACCTGCCTGCGCCGTGAGTTCTTAGTTTCCTGGGAAGAAATGGGAATTCTGTAAGAGAACACAGTATCCAGGGTACTATCATCTTAAAAGCTGTGGATGGGACAAGTTGTTACTCCCAACAGATCATTGATATGAAGCAAGAATAATGTTGGTGCCAAAATTGAATCTTGTGGAACGCCGGAATTGATGCCAATGGTATCAGACGATACACCGTCCACCACCACGTGAAGCGATCTGCCTGAAAGAAAACTCGATAAGAGATGGCATAGCTGAGGTGGAAAGCCGTATGATGGTAGTTTGTGGAGGAGTCATTCGTGCCAAACACGGTCGAATGCTTTCGATATGTCCAACGCGACAGCTAGAGATTCCCCGTGTTTTTCTATTGAAGATTGCCATAAATGGGTGACGTAGGCAAGTAGATCTCCAGTAGATCTTCGAATTAAAGGTGAGAGTGATGTGATTTGAACTGGTGTTATGGATAAAAAGTGTCCTATTCAAAAATTAAAAGTTAGGGTAGTTTCCGATGAAACCGGAAGTGATAGAACAAAAATTGGTTTGCCAATCAATGAACAATTTGGTATACTTGCTACCCACCAATTTTCTAAATCCGATCTCAAATGATTCAGAATTTACAGCACTAATTGTGCACTGCTCTGTATATTATTTTTTTGTCCACCCTGTATCGTTTCGTGATAGCAAAATTCACTGAATCGGTATGAACATTTCGAAATGTTACATACTGTGGATATCCAGAAATGGATGTCCTTTATGGAGTACTCAGACATCAAGATTTTAAGTCTGGTATCGTTTTCCCGTTTATTTCTCTAAAACAAAACTTTCAATCGGGTCAACAAAAGGATCTTTTTTGGACAAAATGGATTAGCCTTTCCAAAACATTGTACGGAATTCGAAAATTTTCCGTCGTAGCTCACTTTTAAGTAAAATAAAAACTATAATATTCCCGTAACGGTTTCACTGGTGGAGAAAATGGAAAGTTTTGTACATCAAAAAATGCACCTTGATGCATAAAATACGTGCACCAAATTTCCGCTCCGCGTCGTTCGTGCAACTGCCGTCGCGTGCGGAAAAGTACTACTTTCCGCACTTGTTAGGTAAATATCAAGCGTGCGCAAAGTTGTACTTCTCCGCACTCATTTGCGTGCGCAAAATAATACTACTATCCAAAAATTTCACTTGTATGGAACATTTATATTCATTTTAGTTGCTGTAGACTATCGTATTTCGATTTTGAACACTCTATATCTGTGTAATCATTCCCGCTAGACCCCAAGTATGATAGATCTTTGAAATCAGCTTTTCGGGGAGAATCTGAAAATTCATCAAAATACAGGGTGTTCTATTGAAAATAAGGAAGTTAGTAATATTTCCGGAATAACTGAGAAAGTGGCAATATTGGCGATAACATTTTCAAATCCGACACGTTTTGTGATCACCCTGTACATAAATTCAAAAAAATCTAACAGACGGTTACTGAGATATCTGCTTGGTTCCATACTTCATCCCAACCCTGTAGATATATCAGTGCTAAGCTCTACAATACCCTACCACACATTTATAAAGGGTCAACTTATTCAGAATTCAAGAAAAAAATACATAATATACTGATGTCACTTTGTTTATATGTAGTTGAGGAGTTTCTCCTCCACATGCCCTCCTGTAAATGTTAATTCAATGTTTATATTTGAACCTGCCCTTTTTTACTTTTATTTTATTGTAGTGTCTGTAATTTCAATTGTATAGTGTATCTGTGAGGAATGTAAAATTCTAGTAATTTTATATAAATGAATAAATGATCAATTATCAATAAACAGGAAATATTCTAGTAATTTTGTATAAATAAATAAATGATCAATTATCAATAAACAGGAAATACAGTAATATTCTGGGATTCCTAGGCAATAAACAGGAAATAAAGGCAATACTGATTTTATTGCACAAAAACAAGAAATACTGGAAATATATTCAATATTTTCTTAAATTATTGCTGATTTGGCAAAACCTACTTTTGTTTTATTGTAGTGTCTGTAATTAATACATAGTGTATCTGTAAAGAGTGCAAAATTATTGTAATTTTATATGAATAAATGATCAATTATCAATGAACAGGAAATACAAGTAATATTCTGGGATTCCTAGGCAATTAACAGGAAATACAAGCAATACTGATTTTATTGCACAATAACAAGAAATACTGAAAATATATTCAATATTTTCTTGAAGTATTGCTGCTCTGGTAAAACCTACTTTTATTTTATTGTAGTGTCTGTAATTAATACATAGTGTATCTGTAAAGAGTGTAAAATTATTGTAATTTTATATGAATAAATGAATGATCAATTATCAATAAACAGGAAATGTAAGTAATATTCTGGGATTCCTAGGCAATTAACAGGAAATACAAGCAATAAGCAATACTGATTTTATTGCACAATAACAAGAAATACTGAAAATATATTCAATATTTTCTTAAAGTATTGCTGCTCTGGCAAAACCTACTTTTCTTTTATTGTAGTGTCTGTAATTAATACATAGTGTATCTGTAAAGAGTGTAAAATTATTGTAATTTTATATGAATAAAAGAATGATCAATTATCAATAAACAGGAAATACAAGTAATATTCTGGGATTCCTAGGCAATAAACAGGAAATACAAGCAATACCGATTTTATTGCACAATAACAAGAAATACTGGAAATATATTCAATATTTTCCTAAAGTATTGCTGATTTGGCAATACCTACTTTTATTTTATTGTAGTGTCTGTAATTATTACATAGTGTATCTGTGAAGAGTGTAAAATCATTGTAATTTTATATAAATAAATAAATGATCAATTATCAATAAACAGGAAATACAAGTAATATTCTGGGATTCCTTGGCAATAAACAGGAAATACAAGCAATAGTGATTTTATTGCACAATAACAAGAAATACTGGGAATATATTCAATATTTTCTCAAAGTATTGCTGCTTTAGCAATGCCTGTAAATTTTTGAAACAGTGGTTCATTCCTTGCATAATATAGGAAGGTGAATATTTACTTACCTCTCAATATCCATTTCAGATTCCAATTCAGCAGCAATGATATGGTCATTTATTCTACTAGCAATTTCCTGTTGTGATTCAAGAGAATAACTGTTATCAAATACTGAAGTCATTTCTTTTTCTCCTAGGGAATCAGGTATATCAAAAATAATTTGTTTTTGATCATTCTGATCAGTGCTCAGATCAGTGCTCAGGATATCATTCTTAGATTCCTGACTAGTCCTAGGAATGTTTTCTATTATATTCAAGTTATTATAAGTGTGTTCTTCAACTGGAGTATGTTTGGATAGCTCTTTGAGCTTATAGAGTTCACTCAAGTTGAGATTGGTACTGGCAAGAAGTTTCAAATCACTGAATGTCAATTTTTGCACTGTTGCTTTTAGCTGACAGGATGAGTTGTTTGTAACTGGAAAATTAGGGAATACAATTTTCATATCACTATTATATTTGAAAGATTGCTGACTCTTCTAAACTTACCAACAACTAATTCTGTGTAATCCTTTTTAGTCTTCTTTCTTTTCCTCAGTTTCTTCATCTTTAGATTGGGACTAATACTGGTGGATTGACTTCTTGTTTGCCCTAGGGACATGCTCACAATTATTACTAATATTCATGTGTAGATATAGAAGAGTTGACAATATTTGTACATATACTCACCCCCAATTAAATAAGATTGTTTACACAAGGAGCAGGTCTGTATGCTAGGATCGAATGTTTTGAGAATCCTATTTAAAGAACCATGAGAACTTCTAGGAAGAGATGTACTAAGCTGAATCAATCTATGCATGGTCACAAATTCTACCTTGAAAAAGATATTTTCGGTCAGTTCGATTTCTTCAGTTTATTAAACAATCATTCCACTCAGGAGAACATCTGAAAAAATGAGCCCCCGAGGCCCGATCTCATTTCTCATTTCAACCTCGAGTCAAAATTTTAGGTTATATTCTCTTTTGTCTTATCAACAAATGTTATGTCACAGAATCAAATTTGAGTAATGTGAACTAGCCTCCAAGGTTAGCTGTAAAAATTTCCGGATATCCCCGAACGCATAATCCAGTGGCGCCGTCACGATTTCAACTAGAGCGATGAGGGCACTACAATCGTAAACAAACATGGATGAGGAAAGTGAGACACAATACATGCACTCTCTATACGAAAATTGAGATTGCAAAAAAACTATTTGCATACCAGCGGGGGGTTATACACTCACCGGCAAAATAAACCGGCCACCAAAATAATTGTTCGCCGTGTAACTTTTTTAATTTTTGTCCGATCTTGGTGAAATTTCGACCAAATCGTGTATTCATGTTTCGGAATGTCAGCCTGAATATTGGTTCCTGAAAAAGCTGACGGCATGGTCTTAATGGGTTGCGTGCAAGAACTGTCAGATGACCGACGCTGGAGGCAAAACATTGAAACACAACGTCACTTTTCTTATTTGTTTACAAGTGATTGAAATAGTTTTCCACAATTATTTTGGCATGTGAATCGTATTTTTCCGCTATTCATCAATTCGCTCATGCCATCACATTGTGCTGTTGTAAAATGCACAAAAACTGCAGCGGAAGATGAAGGAATCCGGATGGTACATTATGATTTAAAAGTAAGTACCTACTATAGTCACTCACATATAGTTTTCATTTTTGAAATTTGGTTATTTCTCTGATTTCTCATAGGAATTCCTTCTGCAATAGGAGCTAATAGAAATATACCTGAAATTTCTAGAATAATGCAAGAAGATTGGATTCATGCAATCAATCGGGAGGCTGACATGCTGCGATCGTGTGTGTTGTAGACATTTTCAATCTATTAGCAGTAGAGTCCCTGTATGTATTTGACACTTTTGCAACAAAACTGACAAATATATACAGGGAATTATACATACAGGGACTCTAATTAGCAGTATTAGCTTGTATTGCAGAAGTGGCAGAAGGCAGAAGGAATAGTAATAAGGAATGACAACATTTCATAATGATAACTATGTGAGATTACTATTTACCTGAAAAATCATATTCCCTAGTCTCTTGCTGCATTTTTTGTGCATTGTACAACAGCACAATGCGAAGGCATGCTTGACTTAATGAATAACGCAAGAAACACGATTCGTATACCAAAATATTGTGAAAAACTATTTCAATCCTTTGATTCCTCTGTAACCAAATGAAAAAGTGAGGTTGTGTTTCAATAATTTACAGAAGAATGAGGTTGTGTTTTAATATTTTGCCTCCAGGGTCGGTCATCGTGCACGCGACCTATAATAGGAAAAACAGAAGTTACTTTTTCACCCTTAACTTCTTAACGTCCTGTGGAAAGGTGAGTGATTTCACTTAGCTTCATTATGGTTTGGATTGAAGTGTGATCCCTTCTCAGCATTATTGTTTTTGATTCACGTCGATAACAACTTTTGAAGGGAAGATTCAAGGGTTTCAAGAGAGTATGGATTTTTAAAATTTGTATTAACAAAAATTCAAAACCAGTCTCCATCCAACCTTTTGCTTCATCATGTTTTGAATTGAAGTGTGATCCTCTTTAGTCCCTTCTTCATACAACGGTTCTTGATTCACGTCAATATCCTCTTTTTGAGAGACGATACAAGCAGTGTTTCAAGAAAGTATATAGAATTTTTTTCCATTTTTATAACAATAATTCAGAACCTAAGAGCATCTTTTGGGGGTGACCTCCAGAGGCTCATTGGCTATCGTCCAGCTTTGTCAGAGACTCTTCAAGAGCTATATACGATTCGCCCTTCAAGGCGAATTTTAGGCAATTAGACTACTTAAGAAATTTGACCAATTCGATGCCACGGCGCTTGAATGCTATAATTCAACTCGTTATATTGACTAGAGGTTTGCTACTTTTGATGTTGATGTTTTATGTAATAAATTTTCCGTGCTAGATTCTAAGAAGGTGAGGTCGAAATAAGTGATTTTGATTCTTTAAGTTGTTAATCAATAAGTTCATGTAGGTTTTGATTATTGGTAGATAAAATTGAAAAATACCATACTTCCTTAAAAATCTCGTATCATCTCTTGAAAATAAGATATTGTTGTGAATCAAGAACTATATTGTGTTCAGAAGGGATCACACTTCAATCCGAAGCATAATCAAGTCAAGTCCAACCACGTTATTTTGCCATAGGGCGTTGAAAAGTATCTGGTGAAAGAGTTACTTTGGTTTCTCCCTGTATAATGATCAACCCATCAGCATTTTAGGAGAACTAATATTTAGGTCAACATTTCGGAATATGAATCTTTGATTTGATCGGAATTCCACAGAAATCAGACAAGGATTAAAACAGTTACAGGCTGAACAGTTTGGGCAAATTTTTTGGTGGCCGGTTGTTTTTGCCGGTGAGTGTATTTCCACAATTCATTCGATTGATTATATATACTCTAAAATCATATATTATAGTGTGCATGGGGATCATTTTTCAGATACAAATACACATGCAGAGTTATTGTTCATGGTAGGCAATCTTGCCCTTGAGTTGATGTACTATAATTAAACAAAAATATTCATCTTCGCCGGTTCAGTCGTTGGATGGATTTTCCAATAACCCAGCCAACACATCTTTGACAAAAAATGTCGTGTTTAGGTAACAGTGCGATATTATAAATAACGTTATATCGCAGCGATGTACATAAACATATGTCCAGAGAGCAAACACATATATCTGCCACGACATGATATCTCTGAGATATCGCGATGAAGTAGCACTTCGATATCACGAATGTTCCATCGCTGCAATGTATACAGAAGCAAACACACTTGTGACATAACATCTCTGATATGTCGTGATGAGGCAACACGACTGCGATATTACGAATGTTCCATCATCTCCGCGATGCACAGGAGCAACACATTTGCGACATGACATCTCTAAGATGTCGTGATGAGGCAACAATGCGATATCACGAATGTTGCATCGCTGCGTAGCACAGAAGTTAACTCATGTGCAAGAATTTTTTTAAAAAATTTTAATTTAGATTTTTATTCGATTAAAATACAATACACAAATATACGTTACGAAAGTGCAGCTAAATTCGCGAACATTCGTTACATTATTGCTAACAAACTATTCTTGGTTTTGCTTGACGATTCAATGGACAGGAGATTCAAAGGACCGCCTATATATGGCGCACGGCCTATACGATCTCTCAACAAGAATGGGACCAAAATGAGAGGTACTTCTTGAATCTATAAGGTCGGAAAGTGAAGGATGGAAACTGCCATATTGGTTTAACAAGTTTCGTATTATTTTTCCCCTACGTCGACATCAACGCCTATCAGTCGATTTTCGTTACCTATAGAGACAGAAGTTGGTCCCCGCTCTGAGGACAGCTATGATTTATATATGAGTAGTATAGATATATGCTGTATACTCACCATACTCATAGAACAATGACCTATACTATATCTATTCATTTATGTGATAGACACCAAGACACCTGATTCTATTCGATCTTTGGTTTGTCAATGTTTGCAATAATAAGTTTACACTAGTTGATTAATTAACCATCAATTATACATGGTGAGTCATGAGGAACTGCTCGGGAACTGTACATGCTCCAACCACGAATATAGAGGCACCTGAGGGCCGGTTTATCAATTACAATTTATCTGTCAGTTAAAGCTTAACTACCAGTTTTTTTGGAAAGGTCGGTTTATCTACACCAGGGTAACTTTATCCGGCAGTTAAAATGTCAAATATTTATCTGTAAGTTTTAACTGGCGGATAGTCGATATCTGGAGGTTAATGACTATACATAACCTCACTTTATTGAGTTGTTTTGATTTCCTAGCTTTCTGGTGTGACAAAAAAGTTAAAAATGGAGAGTACTAGTAGTTCTACAAAGAAAAGAGAATGCAATTTCACAGCAGAGGAGAAAAATTTGCTGATTAAAATAGCGAATCAATACAAACGTGTGATTGAAAATAAAAAAAACAGATGGGGCGTTCGTACTCAAGCACTTGCACAATATCCTCGTCCTCGTCGCTATCCAGAATATAATCATTTAAAAAATTCATATTTATCAACAACCAAAAACTCAGAAAACCTCGAAAACAATCAACAATAACCTAACAAAACGGTCGTGACTACCCGTGATCGGTCGTGATGTGACATGACCTTGTTCTTGTAACAACCAATGAGATTGCTTACATTTATTCATCAGCATTGCCAACTTTCATTATCTGGCAGTTGATTAACTGGAGAATAAAAATGAGTTGATAAACCACTTCCAAACAAACTGGAAGTTTATCTGCTAGATATTTTTATCTGACGGATAACTAACTGATGGATAATATTGGCAATTGATAAACCGACCCTGAGTGGAATACCTATAATGACCATCAGAAAGTGTCTGCTCCTCTTCTTCACTCTCATATATAGGGTGAATTATGGGATTTGGCAAAAACATATTTTGGTCATAACTTTCCAACATCTTTTTCGATTCGTCTACTTTTCGCATGAATTATCCCGCTACTACACTCTAATCGACTGACTCATTTAGAATTAGGAAAATCCAGGACCGTTTTTGAAAAATTTTGCTAGTTCAATTTATATCAAAAAGTTCATCCTGTATATGGTTTTCGTAAACTGTGACAGGGAAAATTCAAAGGTCGAAAACAAACGTCGGAGATGGAATATCCGAAATTTCTCTCAGGGTGTGACTTTATAAAAACTTTTAGCATTTATTAAGATTTAACATTTAAACATTCAAGACTTAAGTGTCTTAAATGGACAGTTATAAAAAAATGAAGATTCTAGGGCGATACATGTCTTCT